AAACTTTTTCCGATTAAAGCTTTTTGGGTTTCTGTATATTTTATTAAAAAAAAAAACGGCATATTGTCGTCAATTTCAGGTACTGCATGCTTCATACTTCCCCCCAAATGCCCTCTCTGTTCACTGTTGACAATTGACAGGATTCGCTACGAAGTCGGCTCCTGAAATAATATATTTGTGCGGTGTACATCAACTCAGAAGATTAATTCATCCGGTTCGACCATGAGCTCATGACCTTAGTCAAGACTAAATGCCTGACCTTGCGCCGATGGGCTATTTTACTCGTTGGATGAGTGTTTATGTTTCCCTCTCGTTGTACACCGAGTTCTACTGTGTTTATTATAAAAAGGCTGGGCCGGTGTACCGTCTAGTCCCTTCGCCGCCCATTGTTTGGGTTGGTTGACCGAACCAGATAGGACATTGTCTTGTCGCATTGGTCATGAATTGATTAAACCGGTTTTAGAGGGGTTTGTTTTTGCGACGGACGTGGGCGATAGCAATGATAGAGCCGGTTTGGGATTTTTGTTGTGTATTTTTGGTCAACATTGCTTGTAAGCCACCCACGTAGTGTTTATCAATATCGCTTGCAAGTTGCATCGGTAGATATATATGACAAGAAATTATAAAGCTGATTGTTCGATACGTAGTTACACCCGTGCTGGTACTGAAATGTTCTCGAATTCATCGCAATACACTACGTATAGCAGGTCAAGTGTCATATAAGCGACCACATGCGTCGCAGCACCAAACAATGCGGTAGGTATCGCGAGTCGATTTGAGTTTCACATCCGGAATAGATGGCGCATCAGTCTTTCCTACCGCAGCCTTTCTATGTGATCGTGTGTCGTCATATAAACTATGGCGTTGAAGCACAGAGCGGCTATGCTACATGACAGCGCAAATAAATTCGCCTCCCCCACACGCAGCTACAAAACCCCTTGCTCAGGGCTATTGCTGGAGTGACATCATGTCACGCCGCCGATCAAAGGCAGAACCGGAGCGATACAATGGCGATTCCCGGGCGATAAACGGGCGATGATCGGCCGGACATGACTCAGTTCGAGCGGAGACGCAGCAGGATTAGCGGTTATGTCAGCTCACGTAGTGTGTTCGCTGAGGAATATCAGAAGAGGTAGGTGAAATCACGGACCGCCAGCTCAGAGGTGCTACTGGCGGATGTTTCTGGCTGGCGAAACGAGCGCTGCATTGATGACCTGAGTCAAGCATGGCAGCTCATTCATATAGGTACGTGGTTGACTGAATATGCTACAAATGATTAGAAGGAATAAAACACTACCTATCGTGAAAGGAGCATAACATTATTGTAAAATCACTGAATAGTAGGCATCCAGCATCTGCAGAAGAACAAAATAAAAAAACTAGGCATCTGAAGCTTGAGTACTCATCATCATAATCATGACATGACATGGTTGGTGTCATCTGACGACTGACATTCAATTAGTTTTTTCTTTTCCTTTTAAAAGCCTAAAGCATGTCTTCTTTCTGCAGAGATGATCGCATAAACGGGTCCAATTTTTGCAACTACCGGCTCGTCTTTTCTCCTACCATGATATCGCATAAGCTCCAGTCTGACTAGTGACTAGTCTCTATAGTCTATACATCCCGGCACTGTTTGGCAGACATAACCACTGCTGCTCTCAAAAGCTCTCGTTTACATGCAGACACAGCCGTGCAAAAAAGTTTCACTTTTCCCCATAGAGAACTTTCTGCACTTGAAAATCAAAATTTTTGGGTCAATGTGGGGATTGATTGTTGATCGGCGCCCTCCTTCCTATTGGCGCCCTCCTGCATCGATCGCAGCCCTTCTACCTGGCGGCCTCCGTTGATCGTTGCCCTCCTATCATTTATCTACTCCTATAGCATGTTTCTCAGCGTAACTGTTCTCAGTGCACATATTTGACGCCTTGTCTGTGAAATTGCCACAAATGAACGTACATTCAATACAATGATGAAGTAGGCATGTCACTAAACTGTTCACGCTCCACCATGCATCAAACCCGTCTTGGTCTTAAAGGGACACTCCCACCTTAACATTAGTTTTGAGTTGAGATAGCCAAATTGGTGGCCATGGCCTGCAAATACCGGTTTGGGCACTCACAACATCGACAAATGCTTTAATTCGGAGATATGGAATTTCAAACTTGCAGTTTTCGGATTCTAAGGGGCTAGTGCATTGGTATGCCCCCTTAGAATTTGTGACGTCAGCGGAGATCTAACGATTTTTAAATCTTTTACTAAAACGTTTGGTAGCACGCGGTGGTATATGCTGCTTTGCGCGCAACAAATGCCGCACTTTCAAATAAAGTCGCTAGGAACAGCGGAGATCCCAAAAAGTAAACAAAAGTAAAAGTCTAATATCTTGAAAACCGGTGAATATTTTTCGATGAAATTTGGTAGATATTCGTTTTCGCTCTTTCTGAACCGAGCGACATCACTTTCGTGCCAATTCATTAACTTTTTTGAAGGTGGGAGGGTCCCTTTAACAGATCGATCTTACAAGTTACAATCATGACATTTACATGGATCACGATAATGTTATCGATAGGTGCGGCCGCAACAACAAGCATCTGAAGTTTCGGTTATTGAAATTGCTATGTGCTTAACCCGCGCCCCGTAGGGCTACCGGCGGACCCTACCACCCGTAGGGGGGGGGGGGGGCCGTTTCGGCCCCCCCCCCTAAGATCTCGGAAAGTTACCGGCCGATTTTCAAAATTCAAACGGCGTTCGATAGCCCCACCCGGGAACTACCTTGTGACCAAATTTCATTGACCTAGGTCAAACCGATGACGTCACAGGTCAGGTCAAAGGTCAGATTTTCACCGTTGACAGGCAATTCAAGAAATGTGCTGTGAAAGCGAGTAAATTGGTAATTTATTGAAAACCATCGATGGTAAATTGTTCGTCAAACACATACTTTGCTATCTGAGGTCACTGATACCAGGTCAGGTCACAGCGAGGTCAGGTCACCGGGGGTCACAATATGAATGTGTCGTGTGATACATGTTTTATGGTCCATTTTACATGACAAATGCGATTATGTGGGTTAGGCAGCCTTTGGGGCCAGCCTAGGTCACGTTTTGGTGAAGGTCAGGTCAAGGTCAGGTCAAATTAGGTCAAATTTCAAAGTTGATATTTTTGCATAAAATGGATATCGATTCGATGCAGCTCGTCACGGGGAGTCTAATGGTGGTCTTCGTTTTGCTCTACGAGTTCTAGAATTGCCAAAAATTGAGTTTGAAAATTTGACGTCATCATTTTTGAACAGTTTTTTCGCTATAACTTGGCCAAAAAACGAGGTATCGATCTGAAATTTGGTATGTAGATAGAAGACGGTAGGCACTATCACATATATTCCGGTTTTTTCGAAACTCAAAAAACTTTTTGGATTTTTTGGCGAATATATCCAAAAAAATGCTTTTTTGATTTTTGGGGGTCAAAACTCAAAAATTTCAAAAATTCGAGATAGCAGTTTTGTAGCCCTGTCAATTCTACACCTTTTATGTCTTGATCATTTTTCTGTATCTTCAAAGCTGTAGTCCTGACAGGTCTTCTCGCGAAGGTCTTTTTTCGGTCGAAAATGACAGAACATGACGTCACTCTGAGACGTCATTTGTGGCCAACCTATCATAGCCTCTGGAAAAATTTTTGGTCACAATGTGTAAAATTGATGCCCGGAGGGGTCCTGAAAGTTTGGTGGCGATATCTCAAGCCGTTTAGGAGATATCGACCGAAAAGGACAGGGGGGGGCCGTTTCGGCCCCCCCCCCTACGGGGCGCGGGTTAACACTGGATGCAACCGTGAGAAGGCTATAGGGTTGGTCTGAGGTAATTTAGATGGCAAGCCCGAGGAAGCTAATCCGATCTCATGAGGAACAGTCCTGTGTTGGTTTATATGTTTCACTCGTTGTGCGCTTGTGTTTACGCACCTCGTGCTCCGGTATCAATCCAATACGGTGATCTGGTGTGGATACCGCCACCAATAAACTTTCTACGCCGTCACCCATGGGCGGAGCTTCCTGTACAGTTGGTGTGGCAGCGGCCGCACCAACCCTTAGGCCTTACTTTTGCCCCACCAACTTTGCTAAAACAGCTAGAAGAGCTGTGAACAGTGAACACATATCAGGTGCGCATAAGAAGCGGAGAAAGAGGTTGTTTTCGAAAATGTCGCGCGCCTTCGGCGCAGCATTTCAAGAACACAATAAGAACTGTGTACCTATGCCAATCATTTGCAACCTTTTTGTCATGTGTGAGATTAACTTGATGCCAAGTTTCGCAGTATAGGTAGCGCGTCGCGACTTTCCCTACACACGCAAAAACTGGTGAAGTGGTAAAAATGCCCCCCCCCCCTCCTGGGCGATCGTAAATCATTTTTTATTTATTTCGTGACCGTATGACGCCCTCCTTGGGTCAGGTGGCGCCCTCCTAACCCTTGCCCCCCCCCCCTCTTCGCGATTTTCTAAATACGCCGCTGATCGGTGGGACGTCGTACGGCGCATGGCAATTTACGTCTGAGCGGCAGTTGGCTAAGGTGGGCTTCTAGCATTTCCGTACATTTCCAAGAGCAGGAACGTTGGGGTTGCCGTGTCAGTGCCAGGCAGTCTTCAGTCTTAAGCTCTGCAGTCTTCACTTGCCAGGTCGTAGAGTTATCGCGGGATTATCACATCGATGCAAAAACGGGAAATGTTGCACAGCTGTTAAAAGAGCTCACTCATGTAGTAAAACTTTGATAAGACCAGAAAATACAGTTTGCTGACGTTACCTGGCTTATTGGCTCGATAAGGAAGCTTTAGGAAAGATATGCTAATCATCCCATAAGACGCAGTAAGCACTTAGTATTAGCGTGACCGGTGACATTTCTCATCCCTCGAGGCCAATTCAGTACTCCGATAGCGTCGTGCACCCTGATGTCAACCTGTGAGGGGGTCAGAGGCCGTCAGTCGACCCGACAGCCTCGGCCGGTGCGGCTGTGACCGGTGCGCCATGACTCTTCTGCTGACCCTCCTGCTGACGGCGGCTGCCGGCGGGTGGGCCGCCGTCCAGACCTCCGCTGGCTCCCCGCTCGGCTGCAGGGACCAGGACAACAGACTAGTCGACTGGTACGTGTTGTACAAGCTGCCCATTCTCAAAGACCCCGGCTCAAAGAAGCCCGTCAGCGATGGCTATAAGTACCTGTACATCTCGTCAGCGTCCACGACCACGGAGACCCCTTGGAGCATGTCCAAAGAGCCCATCGACAGCCAACTGTCTCACCCCGCTAGAACGTTGGCGCCCGTTTACAAAGATCACGCACGGACGGGCCTTTTCTACCGTTTTTACAACGACCACTGGCCAAGCGATAAGTCCCCGTTCTCGTATAACGGTCACGCCAAGGGGGTGCTTGCCCACGAAGGCGACCACGGGTTTTGGATGATCCACAGCGTGCCCAAGTTTCCTCCAGCGCCGACAGATGGAGCAGGCTACAGCTACCCAGACGGCAGAGAAATATTCGGTCAAAGTTTTCTTTGCATCTCTTTCAGTACTTCTGGACAAGATAGTAAGGATCCTAATAACGAACTAAACAAGATAATCAAACAGTTGACAATTTACCAACCCTTTTGTCACGCTTGGAAAAGCCGTCATGGTAAACCAAAGGTCCCAGAAACGATGCCAAATCCCCGCCCCTGCCAATGTCCGGACAAAGCTAGCGGACAATTGCACAACCAGGAGGAAATCCGCACTTCCGAGGGCGTGCAGATCACCACATTCGCCAAGAGCAGCAAATACAATTACGACCTGTACAGCGCCCTGGTGGCCCCGGCGCTGAAGACCGACCTGCACGCCGAGACGTGGCGGGCCACACTGATGTCCCACTGCTCCGGTCCCTACCAGGTGGAGGACGTCCACTACATCAGGGCCATCACGGCCAGTGAAACGTTCCAATTTAAATCCATCAACGATCACAGCAAGTGGGCCGTGTCCATTAACCCGAAAAAGCCATGGGTCTGCATCGGCGATCTCAATCGGGCGGAAACACAGATGAGGAGAGGTGGCGGCGCCGTTTGTCTCAAAGATGACATCCTCTGGGAGACTTTCAGTGGCGCGTTGAATGTCAATCCTGAATGCATGGTCGTCGGAGACGGAGGGAACGAAAGGAAACGCGCGTCCCCCCACGGTCAAGATATCCGGTTGGACGTCCACCCCGAAAATGCCAAAAAGCAGCTTTCGAAATTCGGACCTGTCGGATAGGTACCATACCGGTGAGCAAAATGGCCGCTCACGGGAACGATGGACGAAAGGGTATCTTCCCCAAATGCACGGAATGTAGGAGTTATCCCCTCTAGTTTTAACCCGCGCCCCGTAGGGCTATCGGCGGACCCTACCACCCGTAGGGGGGGGGGGCGTTTCGGCCCCCCCCTAAGATCTCGGAAATTTACCGGCCGATTTTCAAAATTCAAACGGCGTTCGATAGCCCCACCGGGGATCTACCTTGTGATCAAATTTCATTAACCTAGGTCAAACCGATGACGTCACAGGTCAGCTCAAAGGTCGGATTTTCACCGTTCACAGGCATTTCAAGAAATGTGTTGTGAAATCGAGTAAATTGGTAAGTTTTGAAAACCATCGATGGTACATTGTTCGTCAAACACATACTTTGCAATTTGAGGTCACTGATACCAGGTCAGGTCACAGAGGTCAGGTCACTGGGGGTCACAATATGAAAGTGTCGTGTGATGCATGTTTTATGGTCCATTTTACATGTCAAATGCGATCATGTGGGTCAGGCAGCCTTTGGGGCCAGCTTAGGTTACGTTCTGGTGAAGGTCAGGTCAAGGTCAGGTCAAATTAGGTCAAATTTCAAAGTTGATATTTTGCATAACATGGGTATCGATTCGATGCAGCTCGTCACGGGGAGTCTAATGGTGGTCTTTGTTTTGCCCTACGTGGTCTAGAATTGCCAAAAATTAAGTTTGAAAATTTGACGTCATCATTTTTGGACAGTTTTTTTTCGCTATAACTTGGCCAAAAAAAGAGATATCGATATGAAATTTGGTATGTAAATAGAAGACGGTAGGTACTATCATATATGTTCCGGTTTTTTTCGAAACTCGAAAAAACCTATTGGATTTTTTGGCTTATATATCCAAAAAATTACTTTTTTGATTTTGGGGGGTCAAAATCCTAAAATTTCAAAAATCCGAGATGGCAGTTTTGTAGCCCTGTCAATTTTACACCTTTTATGTCTTGATCATTTTTCTGTATCTTCAAAGCTGTAGGCCTGACAGCCCTTCTCGCGAAGCTCTTTTTTCGGTCGAAAATGGAAGAACATGACGTCATTCTGACGTCATTTGTGGCCAACCTGTCATAGCCTCTGGATTTTTTTGTCACCATGTGTAAAATTGATGCCCGGAGGGGTTCTGAAAGTTTGGTGGCGATATCTGCAGTCGTTTAGGAGATATCGACGGAAAAGGACAGGGGGGGCCGAAACGCCCCCCCCCCTACGGGGCGCGGGTTTAATGAATGCTTCTGGACCATACATAAATGCTTCGTTTTGAGTTGAAATGCGTAACACCATGAGACCTAAAATCCCTACATTACACACCGACAAGCAATCTCATCTGAATACGACAGCTTTGGTGAGCAGAACTACTAAGTTCTGGTATCAAACTTGTCGAACGGGATGCAAAATTAATGCACTTTGGAGCTGCTTTGCCAAGTTGTTTGGAAAATTTTCGCATTTCATACATCAATAAAAAATGCGACTGTGACTTATGTCGCCCCCCGCGGGGAGGAGCGTTCCATATATGCATTATCTGATTGGCGCCACACGTCAATAGTTATACCCTAGTAAAAGCTCACAAGCTTTTGACGTTAACCCGTTTAATTAAAACGGATTGCGGATGTGTACCTTGAAATATTTAGGTTTTCGGTCCATTGCAATTGTACATGCAATGCAGCGTCTTAAAAAGTGCTGTAACAATGTCTACTTTTCAGTTGTTAGCCGGCCGATCCATCCCTCCCCGTCGAAAATCCCTGGCGACGCCCCACTGATGAATGTCCTGACTACTAACACCAGTAGCATTGTCAGCTTCAGCTTCGTTGACAACATGCCGGAGCGTGGAGTTTTATTTTCCCTTCACCTACCTTATGGTAGATAGAAACCTACTTTATAGGCATAGCTAAAATTCGATTAAATCGCTTGCATTGAGAGGAGAGATATCAATCTGATAACAACTTTTTGGTTTCCCGATACCAAACGTCAAACGAATAACCAGCTTGGTATTTCGTGTGTCAATCTTAACCCGCGCCCTGATGGGGGGGGGCATTGGCCCCCCCCCCTGTGGTTTTTCTTGAATAGCGAAAAAACGGCGGCGCGCAGCGCCGCCAAATTTTCAGTACCTTCCCGGGCATCAATTTGACACCTTCACACAAAATGTCAAGTCACAGGTCACCTTGGGTCAGGAGTTATTGAGGTCAAACTGAGGTCATGTTCGAGCAAAAATGAGCAAAAAACATGACATCTTGAAACGCTCACCAAATCTACAGTTTACAAGCAATTTTAAAGTTCTTTATGTGGTCATGTAGAGAAAAGACGGCGCTACAAAACTGCTATCTCAGATTTTCAAAATTTTGAATTTTGACCCCCCAAAATAAAAAATTGTTTTTTTTTAGAAAAAACTCAAAAATTTCCCAAAAAAAATTTGAATTTCGAAAAAAAACCGGAATATATATGATAGTCCCTGTGCTTTTCTAACTACATACCGAATTTCAGATCGATACCTCTTTTTTTGGCAAAGTTATAGCGAAAAAACTTCAAAATTGATGACGTCAAATTTTCAAACTCAATTTTTAGCAATTCTAGACCACGTAGCGCAAAACAAAGACCACCATTAGACTCCCCGTAAGGAACTGCATCGAATTGATACCCATTTTATGCAAAAATATCAAGTTTTAAATTTGACCTTATTTCACCTGACCTTGACCTGACCTTCACCAGAACATAACCTAAACTGGCCCTAAAGGCTGCCTGACCCACATAATCGAATTTGTCATGTAAAATGGACCATAAAACATGCATCACATGATATTTTCATATTTTGACCCTCAGTGACCTGAGCTCTGTGACCTGACTTGGTATCAGTGACCTCAAATAGCAAAATATGTGTGTTATGGACAATTCCCCATCGATGATTTTCAATGACATGGATTTTACTCGATTTTACAACGCATTTCTTGAAAGGTCTGTAAACGGTGAAAATTCGACCTTTGACCTGACCTGTGATGTCATCGATTTGACCAAGGTCAATGAAATTGGGTCACAAGGTAGTTCCCCGTTGGGGCTATCCAACGCCGTTTGCCGCTTGTCGCTATGTTGCGTGGTTCTCGAGATCTTAGGGGGGGGGCCAAAATGCCCCCCCATCAGACCGCGTTGCTCGGCAGACCCCATCAGGGCGCGGGTTAATGGTTTTGCTATTTTGTCGGTAGGTACAATAGGTAAATTCTTACTTATGAGTACAAGCGGCTGTGAATTTGGTAAAAAGTTGGTGTTTCTCTCGGTTTCCCAGCATGGCTCGGTTTTGGGTATTTCCTTGATCTTGGCAGAAATTCGGTTTGGTATCAGTATCCCGATTTTTGCAATTGAAATCACTAATTGAACACACATGAAAATCCACAATTAAAAACGTAAAACAGATTGTTGGCGGAGGGGTGTCGTCTATCGACCTCATCAGCACCGTTTTAACCGAAGTGTTATGGTCAATAGTTAAAAACTATTTGATAAAACTGTTCGTTCTTGACAGTGTATCGAACGTCAGTCACGTTTCCAAGCCCGTGTAAAGCACAAAATGTCCGACCAATGAGGGATGCGTTCTTCTGTGCACATGCATTCGTGATATTGTCTGACAATGTCTACACCAGCCTCCTCGGAACTGGCCTCTGTGGGCTGCCTGACAGCAAGCCTTGCTTTGTTGGACAGGTCTTACAGAGGCTTAGTAAATGACCCTGCTTGAATCCGACCAGCGATGATACCTGCAACCATCAATCCGTGTGTGACTGCTCCCCTCCGTTGCCTTCCTCCCACTAACATTCCCTGTAAGAGTGTGTATTAGTTTAGGCGTAAACGTGTAGGTAGGAGGGCAGTCACTAACCGTTTGCAGTTGTGACTACTTTGCTTCGCTTTTGCTATTATGCTAACAGCATGCTTACCCCATCTATATTTGCTTTTTTCCTACTCTTAGCTGGAAATGCCGCTTCTTATCATATTTAGTTATCTGGTGTTTAACGTCTAGGTTCTGTCATAGATCTCTGTACAAGGTCACGTATTTAAGGTGTATAGAGGTCTATGGTGCTGTGTGTCGCTCGCTAGGATAGAGAAAGGGGGCACTCCTGGTCTGGTCATCTGTTCATGGGTGGCGGTGTATAAAAGATGTACCATCGGGCATCCATCCTTCGTGTGTGCCCCTGAGGATTTGATTTGGTAGTGGTGCGATGTGTGATTTTTGGGAAAGAAAGTGTTGAATAAAATTGCTGCTCGTTGGAGGTGTTTTTATTGTCTCTGTTCTGTTCCCTCCTTTTGAATGACATCCAAAAATTTCATTCCTCCGATGGCATTTTTCTTGAAAAAAAAAATCGGAACGCTTTGCCAATAGAGAGCTGAAAGTTGGCACACCTGACCTTTTATAAAGTCGGATTTTACGATACAAATCGTGGTTTCATGTGGGGCCAGGTCACTAACCGACCGACTCATGTCGGTCAGATGTCAGACTGTCAGACTATCAGACGTTGCTGCCGAGGCAAGGGAAGTCTGGGGAGATAAGAGAAGAATCTGGGGAGTTGGGAGGGGAGTCTGGGGAGTGGGAGAGGGAGTTTGGGGAGTTGGTCTGTGGGAGTCTGGGGAGTTGGTCTGGGGGAGTCTCGGGAGTTGGTCTGGGGGAGTCTGGGGAGTTGGTCTGGGGGGAGTCTGGAAAGGTGGGAGGGAAGACAGGTGGTGAAAACTGCTTTGAACTTTAAATACAGCCAAGTTTAAAGATCTTAGATCTTTATGTACATTTTCTATGGAAGACCTACGGAGTAGGTACCTACGGAAGAAATATTACTTTAGACGTTCGCAAAGTAACTTGTAATGTTATTTCCAATAATAAGATGATTTAAAAACATAGTACCTACCTACGTAAAAACATGTTCCTGCCAAACACTGAAAAATAACAGCACGTTTTTCCTAGAGAACTGCAACCTTTTACGTAACGCCC